TCGTTGCCCGGGCGGTGTGTTTGGGATCATTGTCATGCTGAAAGACCCAGCCACGTTTCATCTTCAATGCCCTTGCTGATGGAAGGAGGTTTTCACTCAAAATCTCACGATACATGGCCCCATTCATTCTTTCCTTTACACGGATCAGTCGTCCTGGTCCCTTTGCAGAAAAACAGCCCCAAAGCATGATGTTTCCACCCCCATGCTCCACAGTAGGTATGGTGTTCTTTGGATGCAACTCAGCATTCTTTGTCCTCCAAACACGACAAGTTGAGTTTTTACCAAAAAGTTCTATTTTGGTTTCATCTGACCATATGACATTCTCCCAATCCTCTTCTGGATCATCCAAATGCACTCTAGCAAACTTCAGACGGGCCTGGACATGTACTGGCTTAAGCAGGGGGACACGTCTTGCACTGCAGGATTTGAGTCCCTGGCGGCATAGTGTGTTACTGATGGTAGGCTTTGTTACTTTGGTTCCAGCTCTCTGCAGGACATTCACTAGGTCCCCCCGTGTTGTTCTGGGATTTTTGCTCACCGTTCTTGTGATCATTTTGACCCCACAGGGTGAGATCTTGCGTGGAGCCCCAGATCGAGGGAGATTATCAGTGGTCTTGTATGTGTTCCATTTCATAATAATTGCTCCCACAGTTGATTTCTTCAAACCAAGCTGCTTACCTATTGCAGATTCAGTCTTCCCAGCCTGGTGCAGGTCTACAATTTTGTTTCTGGTGTCCTTTGACAGCTCTTTGGTCTTGGCCATAGTGGAGTTTGGAGTGTGACTGTTTGAGGTTGTGGACAGGTGTCTTTTATACTGATAACAAGTTCAAACAGGTGCCATTCATACAGGTAACGAGTGGGGGACAGAGGAGCCTCTTAAACAAGAAGTTACAGGTCTGTGAGAGCCAGAAATCTTGCTTGTTTGTAGGTGACCAAATACTTATTTTCCACCATAATTTGCAAATAAATTCATTAAAAATCCTACAATGTGATTTTCTGGAAAAAAAATTCTCAATTTGTCTGTCATAGTTCACGTGTACCTATGATGAAAATTACAGGCCTCTCTCATCTTTTTAAGTGGGAGAACTTGCACAATTGGTGGCTGACTAAATACTTTTTTTCCCCACTGTATGTCAACATGGTTTCTTGCTAGGATATCAGACAGCTGGAACAGTTGATAGGCCTAAGAGAGAATAGCTAGCATTGTCATTGTTTTTCAGAAAGGAAGGTTATATTAATGATATAATTGTTATTTTTAGTGTTGATAAGCCAATGGATGTGTAACAAAAAGCAGGACCCACAGGGAAACTCACCCATTGGCCGTTCCCCACCCAGAAGACCCTCCCTGTAAACCGTTCCCCCCGGTCTCCCCCTCCCTTGCAGCATAACGGCGAGCGGCAGCCTTACACATGGAGTCTCTTAGCCGCAAATTTTTTGGTCTTACGTTATTATTTTTTTAAACAAAATAAGTAACCATTTTCAGACCTTTACTGTATAGTTAGCAAACTTCATAAGTTAGGGTGGGTAATGAAGAAAAAAAGAAAAAGTAAATAACAGATATGTAAGCCAAAACCGTCATATAGGTTACTGTGGCTGTAGGAGCAATAGCTCTTAATCCATTGTCATTTATTATTAGCAATATAGTTTATATGACAAACATACATTTGCCTTCAATTTTATTAAGCATTTAAGTGCTTCATACTATGTAAAAAAAATTAAAAAAAGAGAAAGAAAAATGAAAGAAGAGGAAATGCAGTCTATAATCTAAATCTTCACAATCATTCATCATGGCCTGTAGGACAAGTCTTACCTGGTAGATACATTCAATAGCCTGCCAGAAATGAATGGTGACATCAATAAAATATTTTAACTATTATAAAAGCAATTGTGTAGTAGCCCATATGGGACTCTCATTAGCAGTAGCAAAATAAATTGCTGGGGAATAGCTTCCAACTTATTTATTAGGTACACCACCCCATTCACGAAAATGGTTAGCTCCTAAAGACAGTGGCCGTGGCTTGCTATTTAAAGCAGGCAGACAGGCATAGAGGCATTCAGTCACTGTTCGATTGAACATTAGAATGGGCAAAGCGAGTGACCTAAGCGACTTTGAGCGTGGTATGATCGTCAGTGTCAGGCGCGCCGGTTCCAGTATCTCAGAAACTGCTGGCCTCCTGGGCTTTTCACGCACAACAGTGTCTAGGGTTTACCAAGAAAGGTGCAACAAACAAAAAACATCCAGTCAGCGGCAGTCCTGTGGGCGAAAACAGTTTGTTGATGAGAGAGGTCGAAAGAGAATGGCAAGAATCGTGCAAACTAACCGGCGTGCCACAAACAGGCAAATAACGGTGCAGTACAACAGTGTGCAGAACGGCCACTCGGAACGCACAACTCGTAGGTCCTTGTCATTGATGGGCTATTGCAGCAGACGACCACACCGGGTTCTACTCCTATCAGCTAAAAACAAGAAGCAGCTCCAGTGGGCACGCGATTACCAACACTGGACAATTGCGGAGTAGAAAAACATAGCCTGATCCGATGAATCCCGGTTCCTGTTGCTGATGGCAGAGTCAGGATTTGGCACAAGCAGCATGAATCTATGGCCCCAACCTGCCTGGTGTCAACAGTACAGGCAGGTGGCAGTGGTGTAATGGTGTGGCAAATGTTTTCCTGGACCAGGTTAGGTCCCTTGATACCAATTGAGCAATGCTTGAACACCACACATTAAAGAATCGATACCACAAAGAATTCAGGCTGTTCTGGAGGCAAAGGGGGGTCCGACCCAGTACTAATAAACTGGCCACGGAGTGTATATTGCCATATTCTACCCATGTAGGGATTCAATGCACTGTAGCCCCATAACGAAGCAGCCCCAGTCCGTGTGGCACGTCAATATTGTCAATTGTTCATTAATTGGCATGGTGTCACTGTGTTAATGTTCTCCTGTTGAGCCAGTCATAATTGGGTTCCATCTGTCAATTTGTCCCCTTGTGTGTTGGGTTTGATGTGATTCTCGAAGAAGACTTGAGCTTCCTTGGCAGTGGAGAATGTGTGTGTTGTGTTCTGGAAGGTCAAGATGAGTTTTGCTGGGTGGATGAAGCGGCATCTCAGATTTAGCTTGCGTAGCTGGGATCTCACCTTGTTGTAGGTCGCCCTCTGTTTTAGCTGTTCGGCACTCAGGTCTAGGTTTGATGCTGATCCTATTCTACGCATAGATCAGAGCCCCCGATTCCGCTGCAAGGCGAACAATTCGCTGTTTGACTTAAACTGTGGAATCCTATAATCATACAGCGAGAGACATTCAGGAGAGGACCAGAGTCAGAGATGCGGGATGCGGAGATGGATTGGGTCGTTGGTTGGGTCGATTGTCTCCAGGTTCCTGTGCGCCCTGTCGGCGGTTACGGGAGGCTGCTCGAAGAGAGAGGGTGATTCAGGTATCCACAACATGCCTTCGGCACTGGCCCAGTGGAGGGATCCCCGGCTACCGTCGCAAGGGGTTCTCCGGGGCCAGGTGTTGTTCCGCAATATGGTCATGACCGATGCGTCGCACCAAGGGTGGGGCGTGGTGTGCAAGGGTTACTCACTTCAGGGAGTATGGACAGTGTCACAGAGTGCCCGGCATATCAATTACCTGGAACTTCTGATTTACATTTACATTTTCGTCATTTAGCAGACGCTCTTATCCAGAGTGACTTACAAATTGATGATGTACATGACGCTCAAGCACCTCCTCCCACGTTTTTCAGGCCGGCATGTGCTGGTCAGATCCGACAACATCACGACAGTGGCATACTCAACAGGCAGGGGTGGGGGGGGGGGGGGACACGGTCCCTCCCCCTCCTCACCTGGCCCACTCACTGTTGCTGCGGAGCAGTGCACATTTGCTGTCTGTTCTGGTGATGCATTTTCCCAGTTGCCTCAACTTGTGTGCGGATCTGCTATCTCATAGGGAGGGCTAGGAGGGTTTATAATTGATTATTGTGGCTGGGAGGGCTTATCATTGATTCTTGTGGCTCCCCGGTGCGTGCATTCTCCACAAAGTGTACATGGCTGCTATCTCATTGTGTCATGTGGGAATTGATGGAGCCACACCGGGGGCCCATCCCCTGGTTGTGCAGTTCCTGAAAGGAGTACATAATCTCAGGCCGGCCTCTAAACCTATTGCGCCCACATGGGACTTGCCGCTGGTTTTGGAGGCACTGTGTGCAGCCCCCTTTGAGCCTCTGGAGTCGGTGGATCTGAAGATCTTCTCCTAAAAAACCTCCCTGCTCAAGGCTTTGGCCTCGGCTAAACGTGTTGGGGACCTCCACGCGTAATTTGTACACCCTTCCTGTACCCAGTTTGTCCTCGGCGACTAAGGTGACGTTGCATCCAAATACAGCCTTCGCCCCGAAAGTCATGGCTATGTCCTATAGGTCCTTAGCTTTGGGCTATTTCCCTTTTCGCCTCCTCCAATTGCTTCTTAAGAGCAACAGAGGTTACATGCCCTGTGTCCGGTGCGGCTTTATGCATGTACATAGAACGGGCTCAGGATATCTGGTTATGTGACCCACTTTTTTGTATTTTTGCTAATCCAGGCCATCTCCCTGGCATATAGCAGCAAGGGGCAAGGGTTACCTAGCAGTGTACGTGCCAAATTGAAGGAATGAAACCGAGCCTCACGCTTATCACCTGTGGAAGGCGGGGCTTCCAGCGAGACACAGATTTCATTGGCCTTGTCAGGCATGATTGTAGACCCTTCAACCGAAGTCGTGAAAGTGCGACTCCTCATAGTACGTTGTACCTCGTTTCCCTCCTTCAGGGAACAGTAGTTATAGTCAGAACGTTACATTAATTTCCATGGGGTACAAACAAAACATGTTACACATTATCGTAATAATCTCCATCAGTGTTTCCTGCTAGGCACATCAAAAGGTTTCTCTAATAAAAAAACAATTAAGATAGCAATGCATTAGTTGCAATGAGACTTTTATCCATGCCCGTTCGTGGCTCTCATTGTTCTACCTAATCAGTTCCACCCCTGGAAGGAAGCGTTTGGCGCTAATGGCTTTGTGTGATAACGGCTTCCTATAAAGAGCAATGGGACTTGCTGTTAATTCTGTTCAGGAGTTGTTATGAGCCTTCCTTCCTGCATTGAAGAACAGTGACTGCTCACTGTTGGGAATGTGTGAAGGATGAGTGATAGCTGTAGTGAGTGTTATAGGTGTACGTGTAGGTCTAGGTGTAGTGTGGGTGTAGAGCTGTAGTGAGCGTTATAGGTGTACGTGTAGGTCTAGGTGTAGAGCTGTAGTGAGTGTTATAGGTGTACGTGTAGGTCTAGGTGTAGTGTGGGTGTAGAGCTGTAGTGAGCGTTATAGGTGTAGCGAGTGCTGTAGTATGATGTACTAGGTATAGGTGCAGGGCTCTCTCTCACCTGTGGATGGTGGTGGTGTCTCTGGGCTCCCTGCCAGGGATCCTGTCTACAGTGGGCTCCAGGGGGGAGTGCATCAGGTTCAGGCAGGAGGCTAGGGACTGGCTGGAGTCCTCTCTGAATACTACACACACACACACACACACACACACACACGCAGTACCTTTCAGTCAATGTTGTGTGGCACAATAGGCATGTGTTTACAGAGTTGACAACATGCTTAGACAATATACTATAACGAGTGCCGTTAGTATTGAAAAACAAACACTACACTACAGAAATCAAATATTTCCTTTACAATCACTGTGCAGAGTAAAATAGACAATGGCATCTGTTTTAACGTCTCATTAATGCAGAGAGACAACCAGAAATAACCAGACCTTTAATAAAAGGTAGGTGGATGGCTGTTAAGGTAAAACTGAATGTGGCTCAGCTCAGCAGCCCATAAATTGCTGTGAAACTGCCTGGTTCTTAATAAAAATGCCAAGCAGTCACCTGAGAGTGCTAAAACAGGAGCATCCGTGTGTTCGTGTGTGTGTGCGCACGTGTGCGTGTGTGGGCATGTCAGGCTAGGGACTGGCTAGAGTCCTCTCTGAATACTACACACACAAACACACACACACACACACACACACACACACACGCAGTACCTTTCAGTCAATGTTGTGTGGCACAATAGGCATGTGTTTACAGAGTTGACAACATGCTTAGACAATATACTATAACGAGTGCCGTTAGTATTGAAAAACAAACACTACACTACAGAAATCAAATATTTCCTTTACAATCACTGTGCAGAGTAAAATACACAATGGCATCTGTTTTAACGTCTCATTAATGCAGAGAGACAAACAGAAATAACCAGATCTTTAATAAAAGGTAGGTGGAAGGCTGTTAATGTAAAATTGAATGTGGCTCAGCTCAGCAGCCCATAAATTGCTGTGAAACTGCCTGGTTCTTAATAGAAATGCCAAGCAGTCACCTGAGAGTGCTAAAACAGGAGCATTCGTGTGTGTGTGCGCACGTGTGCGTGTGTGGGCATGTCGGGTGAGCCTTAAATTGAGTTAGGGTGAGAGACATTCCACTTATTCATCTTCTTCAGTAAGTCACATCATCACTTCACTTTACGTGTGCGATTTATCAATTATTTGCAGGGATTTCACACGACATACAGTGCATTCAGAAAGTATTCAGACCCCTTCCCACATTCTTACGTTACAGCCTTATTCTAAAATGGATTATCAACCTCATCAATCTACACACAATACCCCATAAAGACAGTGAAAACAGGTTTTTAGACATTTTTGCAAATCTATTAAAAAACCTTATTTAAATAAGTATTCAGACCCTTTGCTATGAGACTCAAAATTGAGCTCAGGTGCATCCTAATTCCATTGATCATCCTTGAGATGTTTCTACAACTTGATTGAGTCCACCTGTGGTATATTCAATTGATTGGACATGATTTGGAAAGGCACACACCTGTCTATATAAGGTCCCACAGTTGACAGTGCATGTCAGAACAAAAGTCATGAGGTCGAAGGAATTGTCCGTAGAGCTCAGAGAGAGGATTGTGTCGAGGCACAGATCTGGGGAAGGGTACCAAAACATTTCTGCAGCATTGAAGGTCCCCAAGAACACAGTGGTCTCCATCCTTCTTAAATGGAAGAAGTTTGGAAGCACCAAGACTCTTCCTAGAGCTGGCCGCCCGGCCAAACTGAGCAATCGGGGGAGAAGGGCCTTGGTCAGGGAGGTGACCAAGAATCTGATGGTCACTCTGACAAAGCTCCAGAGTTCCTGTGTGGAGATGGGAGAACCTTCCAGAAGGACAACCATCTCTGCAGCACTCCACCAATCAGGCCTTTATGGTAGAGTAGACAGACGGAAGTCACTCCTCAGTAAAAGGCACATGACAGCCCGCTTGGAGTTTGCCAAAAGGCACCTAAAGGACTCAGACCATAAGAAACAAGATTCTCTGGTCTGATAAAACCAAGATTAAACTTTTTGGCCTGAATGCCAAGCGTCACATCTGGAGGAAACCTGGCACCATCCCTATGGTGAAGCATGGTGGTGGCAGCATCATGCTGTGGGGATGTTTTTCAGCGGCAGGGACTGGGAGACTAGTCAGGATCGAGGGAAAGATGAACGGAGCAATGTACAGAGATATCCTTGATGAAAACCTGCTCCAGAGCGCTAAGGACCTCAGACTGGGGCAAAGGTTTACCTTCCAACAGGACAACGACTCTTAGCACACAGCCAAGATAACGCATGAGTATCTGAATGTCCTTGAGTGGCCCAGCCAGAGCCTGGACCTGAAATCGATCGAACATCTCTGGAGAGACCTGAAAATAGCTGTGCAGTGACGCTCCCTATCCAACCTGACAGGGCTTGAGAGGATCTGCAGAGAAGAATGGGAGAAACTCCCCAAATACAGTTGTGCCAAGCTTGTAGCATCATACCCAAGAAGACATGAGGCTGTAATCGCTGCCATAAATGTGCTCAACAAAATACTGAGTAAATGGTCTGAATACTTATGTAAATGTAATATTTCAGTTTTTCAACAAAAAAAAATACATTTGCAATAATTTCAAAAAAACTGTTTTTGCTTCGTCATTATGGGGTAGTGTGTGTAGACTTCTGCGTGTTCTGATGCAACCTCCAAAAATAGAAGGATGTTAAGAGAATTAAAACTGAAGGTAATTCTCCAAGCCTTCGTAGATGTTGAATGCCTAGAGATATGGAAGTCTTGAACTGACTCAGACCTCCTGTTAGATAAAAGTCAACTAAGGGGCCTGTTGTCTCCACTCACGTCACCAAACAGATCCTGCTCCTAATAATAGGCTACATCTATCCGTTCATCTTGCTTTCATACAAGGGCAATTCATTGTTTCTCAGTAATTTCTCAGTTTTGCAATTCTTTACATACTGTATAGTATATCTTTAGGATACATAATAACCAGTGAAGTTATTACGGGGGGCAAACTACCCGCCCTCCAGGACACCTACAGCACCTGATGTCACAGGAAGGCCACAGGAAGGTCAAAGAGATCATCAAGGACATCAACCACCCGAGCCACTGCCTGTTCACCCCGCTATCATCCAGAAGGCGAGGTCAGTACAGGTGCATGAAAGCTGGGACCGAGAGACTGATAAACAGCTTCTATCTCAAGGCCATCAGACTGTTAAACAGCCATCACTAGCACATTAGAGGCTGCTGCCTAGACATAGACTAGAAATCACTGGCCACTTTAAGGAATGGAACACTAGTCACTTTAATAATGTTTACATATCTTGCATTCCTCATCTCATAAGTATATACTGTATTCTATACTATTCTATTGTATCTTAGTCCTTGCCGCTCTGACATCGCTTGTCCATATATGTACACAACCAGTCAAAAGTTTGGACACACCTACTCATTCAATGGTTTTTCTTTATTTTTACTATTTTCTACAAAGCTGTCATCAAGGCAAAGGGTAGCTATTTGAAGAATCTCAAATATAAAATATATTTTGCTTTGTTTAACACTTTTTTGGTTACTACATGATTCCATGTGTCATTTCATAGTTTTGATGTCTTCACTATTATTCTACAATGTAGAAAATAGTACAAATAAAAAACCATTGATTGAGTAGGTGTGTCCAAACTTTTGACTGGTACTGTATATATTCTTAATTCATTCCTTACTTAGATTTGTGTGCATTGGGTATAAGTTGTGAAATTGTCAGATATTACTTGTTAGATATTACTGCACTGTCGGCGCTAGAAGCACAAGCATTTCGCTACACCCACAAATAACATCTGCTAAACACGTGTATGTGAACAATAAAATTTGATTTGATTTTGAGTTACAAAGGTTGTGAATGCAATAAAAAATAAAATAAAAAAAAATCCTTACAAAAACCCTATGATGCACTCAACTCTTTTTTTTTTATCAGTCTTCTGCTGCTGGGAAATATGATTTAAACATTATGATTAGAAAATTATCAAGAGCATTGAGATTTAACCATTTCTGTTGCTAAGTGTTATGAGAATATCAAGGAACTAATGATAGCAATGCTGGGGGAACAAACCATCTGAACTGGCTTAAAACTGACCTAGCAAATTTATTTGCTCTAGTTAAAGTACAACTGTTCTAAACTTCCTAAATATCTGAGCATTACAAGTTAGTCCTGCTTAAACTCTGGTGTGTCCCTGGATACATGTAGAGGTCATTCTAAAATCTCCAAGTTTCCTTGGACAGGTGGCTGAAGTAGAGGAGCAGAGAGGGTGGCTGCGTCCCCAACGGCATCCTATACCCTGTATAGTGCTTTACTTTTGACCAGAGCCTGATGGGTAAAAATAAGTGCACTATGTAAGGAATAGGGTGCCGTTCGGAATGAAGCCGGGGGATTTGCTGGTGAATGAATGGGGAGTGTTCATACCGCGACGCTGGCGTTGGTCATCAGAGAGGTCCAGGTCCAACATCAGGTCATCCTCATCTAGCTCAGACGAGCCCAGGTTGTTCAGTACATCCTGAGGACACAATGGAGAGACATCTGTGTGACTCTGTGCGCTGGACACAGTTTAACAACAAGCTTGATGCCTGCCACTTTACTTTGGGAGTAGGGTCAGGAGTTATTGACTATAACTAGGGCCCAGAGTGTTTCCTTGTAAGGTTAGGTGGTGAAATAATATCTGGCACTATAGAGACATATACAGGTAACTGCCAAAATAAAGGAAACAGCAACATAAAGTGTCTTAATAGGGCGATGGGCCACCACGAGCCAGAACAGCTTCAATGCACCTTGGCATAGATTCTATAAGGTGTCTGGAACTCTATTGGAGGGATGTGACACTATTCTTCAATGAGTAATACCATCATTTGGTGTTTTGTTGATGGTGCCGCTCCAGAATCGCCCATTAGTGTTAAATTGGGTTGAGCTCTGGTGATAGACGGCCATGGCATATGGTTTATTGTAAGGGTTCATTCATGGCTGTACTGGATACATAAGGGGTCACCAAAGCAAAGGTTATTAAAATCCAATCTCTTAAATCAATGATCTTATCCATTGAGATTTTGAATCCATTGGCCCAGTAAACATTGATGACATTTTCAAAGACATCCATATTCTATGTAGTGGTTGAGGAATCATGACGACCCCTTTTCCTTTAGTCGCGTTTCAAAGGGATACGCTGCCATCTTGTGGGAAGACACAGAAAAAACGGTTACCACAGTAGGTCTACTGGTAAAAAGTAGAAGGAAATATCAGAAGGTGCACAGGAAATGCAGAAGATAGAAAATATGAATTATCTCCAAAACATCTAAGGGTTTCTTATGGACAAGGTTAAAGGTATAGTCAAAAATAAATAAATAATGGATTTCATATCATTTGGAGAACATTGAGAGATAAATGTGATGCTGTCATCACTGGTGACTCACACAATTCCAGTAAGATGGATGTTTACTACTAATTAGCCAAAATGTCACTGTAGTGTACCACATTTCCAACAACATATGTGCATGGGCAAAGAAATCTATTTGACTTATCTTGTAATTACTTATCGGTAGTGTTGTCACGATACTGCACACAGAGACATACAAATGGTCTCCACGAGAACATCTGACTTTGGGTAAGTAGAAAAACGGTTGCCAGAATCTCTGCAGTATACCTTTAAAGTTGGGTACATCAATGTGAATCAGAACCAGGCAGTGTCATTATGTCCAAACAAAGCTCATGTTGTCCAGACTGTCATACCGTTCTTAAATTGCCAGTATCCCTTTAAGGGCCAGTTTCCCCAGACACAGATTAAGACTAGTTCTGGTCTAAGAAGCATTCTCAATTTAAATTCTCCATTAAAGGCTTAATCTTTGCCTGGGAAACTGCAGAATGACAGAAATGTTCACTCCAGCACAATCTATACAGTGGGGAAAAAAAGTATTTAGTCAGCCACCAATTGTGCAAGTTCTCCCACTTAAAAAGATGAGAGAGGCCTGTAATTTTTATCATAGGTACACGTCAACTATGACAGACAAAATGAGAAGAAAAGAAATCCAGAAAATCACATTGTAGGATTTTTAATGAATTTATTTTCAAATTATGGTGGAAAATAAGTACTTGGTCAATAACAAAAGTTTCTCAATACTTTGTTATATACCCTTTGTTGGCAATGACACAGGTCAAACGTTATCTCTAAGTCTTCACAAGGTTTTCACACACTGTTGCTGGTATTTTGGCCCATTCCTCCATGCAGATCTCCTCTAGAGCAGTGATGTTTTGGGGCTGTCGCTGGGCAACACGGACTTTCAACTCCCTCCAAAGATTTTCTATGGGGTTGAGATCTGGAGACTGGCTAGGCCACTCCAGGACCTTGAAATGCTTCTTACGAAGCCACTCCTTCGTTGCCCGGGCGGTGTGTTTGGGATCATTGTCATGCTGAAAGACCCAGCCACGTTTCATCTTCAATGCCCTTGCTGATGGAAGGAGGTTTTCACTCAAAATCTCACGATACATGGCCCCATTCATTCTTTCCTTTACACGGATCAGTCGTCCTGGTCCCTTTGCAGAAAAACAGCCCCAAAGCATGATGTTTCCACCCCCATGCTTCACAGTAGCTATGGTGTTCTTTGGATGCAACTCAGCATTCTTTGTCCTCCAAACACGACGAGTTGAGTTTTTACCAAAAAGTTATATTTTGGTTTCATCTGACCATATGACATTCTCCCAATCCTCTTCTGGATCATCCAAATGCACTCTAGCAAACTTCAGACGGGCCTGGACATGTACTGGCTTAAGCAGGGGGACACGTCTGGCACTGCAGGATTTGAGTCCCTGGCGGCGTAGTGTGTTACTGATGGTAGGCTTTGTTACTTTGGTCCCAGCTCTCTGCAGGTCATTCACTAGGTCCCCCCGTGTGGTTCTGGGATTTTTGCTCACCGTTCTTGTGATCATTTTGACCCCACGGGGTGAGATCTTGCGTGGAGCCCCAGATCGAGGGAGATTATCAGTGGTCTTGTATGTCTTCCATTTCCTAATAATTGCTCGCACAGTTGATTTCTTCAAACCAAGCTGCTTACCTATTGCAGATTCAGTCTTCCCAGCCTGGTCCAGGTCTACAATTTTGTTTCTGGTGTCCTTTGACAGCTCTTTGGTCTTGGCCATAGTGGAGTTTGGAGTGTGACTGTTTGAGGTTGTGGACAGGTGTCTTTTATACTGATAACAAGTTCAAACAGGTGCCATTAATACAGGTAACGAGTGGAGGACAGAGGAGCCTCTTAAAGAAGAAGTTACAGGTCTGTGAGAGCCAGAAATCTTGCTTGTTTGTAGGTGACCAAATACTTATTTTCCACCATAATTTGCAAATAAATTCATAAAAAATCCTACAATGTGATTTTCTGGATTTTATTTTCTCAATTGGTCTGTCATAGTTGACGTGTACCTATGATGAAAATTACAGGCCTCTCTCATCTTTTGAAGTGGGAGAACTTGCACAATTGGTGGCTGACTAAATACTTTTTTTCCCCACTGTATATTCTGCATAAAGTATAATACCTTTTGAAGGAAGTGATTAGCCTCCACTTATGAAGAGGTAACACAGCCTTTATGCTCAAATAAGGTGTTCCCCAAGTAATAGTTATTGGAATAGGGTGTCAGTGCTCACCCATTGGTGTAAAATGGTATCTATTATATACATCATTTGGAGCGAAATTAGTGCGTTAATGTCATCCCCCAGCTATAGATGTGTATTAATACTTTCACTGTGCAAGCTCTGTCCTTTTTTACCGTACAATAATGTTTGAGTGAGTAGCTTTATGCTAATGGTCATTTAAAAAACTGTGGCTCGTTAAAACAAGGATCAATTTCTTCAATGCCAACCTCAGTAATATGGAAAACATTCAGAATAAGTAGGTGTCTCTTATTCTTCACATAGAAAGGCTTTGGGTCAGTAGATGCCTGTGGAGTTAATTCAAGAGGACCAATAGAGAAAGATTTGCCGTTGCAGAGGTCCAGACTCCAGGGGTGTATTCGGTAGCGCTAGGGCTGTCCCTGACAAAAACTAATCTTGGTCGAATGCGAGGCATCTGTTCTTTTGACTAATTGATTGGTAGAAATATAAAAACGTATAGACATACCATATGTTTGAATAAAATCAACTATATGTAAGCTACTGAGATAAAAAATGAAGACACAAATTACTAAAGAGGGAGCCAGAGATCAATATAGCCTAACCAGAAGAAAAAAACATGCTCCCGACCCGACCCTCCTCCCGCTGCTGCTGGCCTTCACAGATTCTGCCATTATGCTCCTGAAGTTGCCGGTAATAGGCTAAAACAGCGGTCGGCAACCTTTTCCATTTGTAGTGCCAAGTTATCGTATCATTTCTACGGATCTGCGTGCCAGTTATGATTTTCATATGCACATTTTTGTGGAACAGGTAATTTCCTTTATAATAAATTCTTCATATCTCTAAATCAATGTCATGTGGTTAATCAAAATTCGATCTAAATGAAAACGATACAAATCTAAAAGTAACTTCTATTGCTATTGCCAATATGTAAAAATAGCCTACATAAAGCCAACAAATAAAAACATAGCAGCCCGCGGGTTGAAAATATCCTGTTAAAAATAAATATCCTATAAAACTCAAAAGCTACCTATGGCCTGTCTGCAAGGAACTTGAAACATTGTATCAACTATTAACTTGGTCCGGCCAGAAGCTTGTGCTAGCAAACGTGCGACATTGTATAAAATATTCCGGGCCTTAGAGTTTCCCGCAGCAGTGAGCTCAGGACAGACAGACACGGCTGTAGGCTATTTGCACAAGGGATAAGAAGTAATCAGGTAGGCCTATTTTATGACGTTTCCACCTGATCAGAGCATGACATTTTTTTCTCCTTTCATGCTAAGTGGTTATGGAAAGGGAGAGAGCTGGAAAGATTTTTCAAATAGGCTGTGTTGAGGAACTATTGTCATTTTCTATGGATGTAAAAACAGACTTTGTTTACTTGCTGTTTGAGGCGAAGAAAACATTCATTTGAGAAGCTCCACAGTGATGGTGAGTTAAGTCAATCAGAAATGTGTATATCAATGATGTCGCTCTTGCTGCTGGTGACTCTCAGATCCACCTCTACGCAGACGACACCATTTTATATACATCTGGCCCTTCATTGGACACTGTGTTAACAAACCTCCAAACGAGCTTCAATGCAATACAACACTCCTTCAGTAGCCTCCAACTGCTCTTAAACACTAGTAAAACTAAATGCATGCTCTTCAATCGAACGCTGCTGGCACCTGCCCACCCGACTAGAATCACCACTCTCGACGGGTCTGACCTAGAGTATGTGGACAACTACAAATACCTAGATGTCTGGTTAGACTGTAAACTCTCCTTCCAGACTCACATTAAGAATCTCCAATCCAAAGTTAAATCTAGAATCGGCTTCCTATTTCGCAACAAAGCCTCCTTCACTCATGCTGCCAAACATGCCCTCGTAAAAATGGACTATCCTACCGATCCTTGACTTCGGCGATGTCATTTACAAAATAGCCTCCAACACTCTACTCAGCAAATTGGATGTAGTCTATCACAGTGCCATCCGATTTGTCTCCAAAGCCACATACACTACCCACCACTGTGACCTGTACGCTCTTGTTGGCTGGTCCTCACTACATGTTCGTCGTCAAACCCACTGGCTCCAGGCCATCTATAAATCACTGCTAGGCAAATCCCCGCCTTATCTTAGCTCATTGGTCACCATAGCAGCACCCACCAGTAGTCTGCGCTCCAGCAGGTATATCTCACTGGTCATTCCCAAAGCCAACACCTCCTTTGGCCTCCATTCCTTCCAGTTCTCTGCTGCCAATGACTAACGAATTGCAAAAATCTCTGAAGCTGGAGACTCTTATCTCCCTCACTAACTTTAAGCATCAGTTGTCAGAGCACCTTACCGATCACTGCACCTGTACACAGCCCATCTGAAATTAGCCCACCCAACTACCTCATCCCTATATTGTTATTTATTTTGCTCTTTTGCACCCCAGTATCTCTATTTGCACATCATCTCTTGCACATCTAGCATTCCAGTGTTAATACTAATTGTAATTATTTTGCACTATAGCCTATTTATTGCCTTACCTCCATAACTTGCTACATTTGCACACACTGTATATATATATTTTCTGTTGTATTTTTTGACTTTATGTTTTTTTACCCCATATGTAACTCTGTGTTGTTGTTTTTATCGCACTGCTTTGCTTTATCTTGGCCAGGTCGCAGTTGTAAATGAGAACTTGTTCTCAACTGGCTTACCTGGTTAAATAAAGGTGAAATAAAAAATACATAAATAAAAGAAATAGTATCAGATCCCCAAATGGGCACATTTATAGGCCTACATTTGCGCGCAGGCCAGGTAGCCCAGGCCTACTTCTATGCGTAATCAGGTGCATGTCCTTCCTCAACATTAACAGGAGTGCTCCAAACAAAAGACATGAATAAATTGACAACTGGTAAATGGAATGAAATAAACCAAAACTGTGTAGCCTAGGTTTTGCGCTCCGCAAACAATGTGTCCACTCCTACAATGACAAGACAGTAATAGTAATATATTGAATGCATTAACAAACATTGTAGATTAGAAATTATGGTAATTAACTGTAAATATACTACCGGTGATACTGGTGTACCATCCCCGCGGCCTCTGCAATGGATTAGTCCACTCAGACAGGCATGAATCAGACAGGTGTCTCGTGTGCCATAATTTCTTATAATATATTAGCCACTGCTCAACAACAAAAAAATCTGTCGACCAAACAATTGACCAGTCGACTAAATAGGGTCAGCCCTAATTAGTGCACACCATAGCAAAACATTTTGCACAGTAACAAAACAAAACAAGCGTTTCCTACAGGACAAATTCAGGTAGGTCCCTCCCCGTTTCGTCCTTTGGTTCCTTGTGAATAATATACCCCTCATGAGAGTTAAGGAGGGGATATTCATATAGATAATAATGGACTTAGTTTTTTTGTACCCATTCACCCAAAAGATTAGTGTCAAAGGGACAGTTCACTCAAATCAATTAAGTACTCAAATGTTTCCTTACCAGTCAACTATGGGCCAGGGGAGACTACAATTCCCACATATTTTGTAATATGGGTTGGTTAACAATCTCTTGATGTATGAACGTTTTATTTTACTTGTTCCTTCTACATCCGCACGGTACTCCAAGCGTGTCTTATGAAGTGAATGCATGGACTGAACATAATAACATTTCACTTAAAACAGTTTAGGTACTTTTGCCACAGTTTAGAATGATTGTATGTATATCCTGTACCTAAAGTGTAAGACAGAGCAGGCATATCCTGTTGGCTGTTGAGTGTATTGTAATTATGACACAGAGAAGGTAGGGATTATCTATTGCCTTGTACTTGCCCTGAAAAGGTACTTTAGTCCGCCTCTGCATCGCCCTTGACTGCTCATGAAAGCACAAACCTAGATCTTAGTATAAGCCTGAAGAATGTGAGGTACTACAGCAGTGGTTCCCAAGCTTTTTCGGTTACTGTACCACCAACTGAATTTCTCTCTGCCCGGAGTACCTCTGAAGTACCCCCTCATGTGCATTTTACCAGTAAGCCTATGGTCTCATGACTCTTCTCAAGTACCCCATGTGGATAGGCCAAGTACCCCCAGGGGTCCTAGTAACCCTGCACTACAGGATGAGTACTTTCACTTCAAAAGCACGGGTGTTTACTGTTTATGCAGGCATGTGGATTGGAGTGGCCAGACAGGAAGGGGTCAGGCGCAATCCCTTGAGTGACAAGTTGCTGTCCTGTTGCACTGATCTGCAGCACAGTTAAGTTAGATGATTAGTCTGTTTAATTTAGGGCGGGGCTGTTATCCCCGTGTGAGAGTGTAATCCAGAGGAGGATGCGGTCATGGACTAAGCTATTTAGTCTGCAGCGCCAGTGAGGAGCTGCTAGCACCATTGCCAGCTCCCCTGCTGTCCTGTCCTCTAGTGTAACTGTAACCCTAGTGTAACCGTGCTGTACTGAAGTGTAGTGACAGCACCTACTAGGCTGCCCTGTCCAGTCCTGTCCTCTACTGTAACCCTACTGTAACTCTATTGTAGTGTAGTGTAAACACCTACAAGGCTGCCCAGCTTGGAGGAGGACGAGTTGGTCCTCTGTTTCAGCAGCACGTTCCCCTCGGTGGTGCAATGGGGCTCTTTTAAGTTGAGGTGGAGCTCCCGCGGCCCCCCGGCACCCTCCGAGGAGGAACGTAGCCGGCGCTCCATGCGCATCACCTCGTGGTATGGGCTGGCACTGCTGCTGCACATGGACACTGTGGAGGGCAGAGCACAAGACACATTATAATATTTTTTACTGACGTGGAGACAGGGAGTGTGGCAAAATAATATGGCAAACAGACAAGTAGGCAGACTGTCGAATGCGACACAAACAAACAAACACAGACTACATGTTTGGGAAAAACGTCAAAACAAGCAAACAAGCAAACAATCATTTGGCTATCGCAAGCCTGGGGGCTGGAAGCGATCCAGTGTTTTGCAACAACAGCTTCACTGATTTTATGGAGCCAAATGATTCTAGGTGACCTTTACACTAATGTAAAGGCATTTTTCCAATATAGTGAGGGAATAAGGCTACTTTTACTCCTTGATTGAATTTGGGTTATAGATCTACATTATCACTGAGCACATGTTTTACGTGCAAGTATAACTACTTACGTGTTATCACCAATACAAAGTAGCCTAAGCAACAGACAGACAAGAAATAGGCTTACATCAAAAAATGAACAATAAAAGTGGTGTTAATCATTATGGATAGCCTAACACTGCCCAAAACCAGTAGACTAACCAATGCAGTTCACAAACAGTTGTCTTAAGAAAACTATTCAGATATGATGATATTCTAAGCAGTGCCATACTGTTCAAGTTTGGCAGGTGAATGCTGGAGTCTAGTGGGCCGTTTCAGAAAAACATAGCCAAAGGGTAGCCATTCTTCCAGGAGGTGTTATCCAGGTGTGAGTACAGCCTACAATGTCTTAGGAAACTGCCGTCCATTGGTTAATAAATATACCTTTAAGAGGAAATAGTTCCCACTATACTGAGAACAGGCACGTGGGCCTAAAATAGTGCTGCTCAACCCCCTAATCAGTCATTTCGATCTGACTTTGGTACTTTCCGCATCATCCAACCAAAGAGTACATAAAGTATAGCCTTCATTGTATATCATACCTCTGCCTTCTAAATGTGAAAGCAGTGTAAAGTTCACCCACTTTGAACAGAAAATGTCATTTTGTAGGTGATCGAAAATACAAATTCAGTCTGAAACGGTGGTAGGCAATACTGTGTGCAAACACTTTGGCCAAAATATACTGAACAAAAATATAAATGCAACAATTTTACTGAGTTACAGTTCATATAAGGAAATCAGTCAATTGAAATAAATTCATTAGGCCCTAATCTATGGATTTCACATGACTGGGCAGGGGCGCAGCCATGGGTGGGCCTCAGAGGGCATAGGCCCACCCACTTGGGAGCCAGGCCCACCCACTGGGGAGTCAGGCCCAGCCAATCAGAATGAGTTTTTTCCCCACAAAAGGCTTTATTAAATCAGAAATATTCCTCAGTTTCATCAGCTGTCTAGGTGGCTGGTCTCAGACGATCCCGCAGGTAAAGAAGCCAGATGTTGAGGTCCTGGGTTACACGTGTTCTGCGGTTGTGAGGCCGGTTGGACGTACTGCCAAATTCTCTAAAACGACGTTGGAGGTGGCTTATGGTAGAAACATTTACATTAAATTCTCTGGCAACAGCTCTGGTGGACATTCCTGCAGTCAGCATGCAAACTGCATGCTCCCTCAAAACTTGAGACATATGTGGCATTGTGTGACAAAACTCCACATTTTAGAGTGGCCTTTTATTGTCCCCAGCACAAGGTGCACCTGTGTAATGATAATGCTGTTTAATCAGCTTCTTGATATGCCACACCTGTCAGGTGGATGGATTATCTTGGCAAATTAGAAATGCTCACTAAGAGGGATGTAAACAAATTTTTGCACAAAATGTGAGAGAAATTAGCTTTTTGTGCGTATGGAACATTTCTGGGATCTTTTATTTCAGCTCATGAAACATGGGACCAACACTTTACATGTTGCGTTTATATTTTTGTTCAGTACACTTGTCAGTGATTTAAATTAGCTTTTCACAAGAGCAATGCGCCTCCTCCGTATTATCAATGAGTCAATCACATAGAGGTAGATCAGTACTCCGCGTGTTATTAAATGAATTGTTCAGTTCTTACCTGTGTGGGGTTTCCTCAGGTGGCATGACCTGGGTTCATGTCTACCGCAGCACACTCCCTTCCCTGGTTCCTGGATGAGCACTGTGTTCCTGGACCTCCTCTCAGACTTCTCTGGATTGGAATGGTAGCCTTTACTACACACTGGGCCTGCCTCGCTCTCACTAGTCTCTGTCTGCTCTGGTCTGACCTCCTCCACCATCACAACATCCTCCTTCTCCTCTTCCCCGTCTTCCTGTGATTGTTGTTGGTGTTCTGGTGGCATTGGTGGTGTTGCAGCTGTTGCTGGTTCTGTGACAGTGACTGCAGTCTCACACCCTGTGGTGTTGGCGGTTCTGGTGTCTGGCAGTAGGGGCTTGTCTGTGGCAGCTTGGGCAGGTGTGAAGAACACCTGGGAGGTAGAGACGACATGGCTAAAGTTGTCTGCCGGGGCGGCTGGGCTGGGGCTGGGGCTGGGGGCAGGCAGCACGTCCACCTCGGACACAGAGTCCTCTGTGATTGGGACATTAAACTCGGAGGGGGTGATGGCCGTGGTGCAGTCCTCAGACAGAACGGGCGACTGCAGGGAGCTCTCCCCAAGCAGCTCGCCTGGCCACGAGCCCGGGGTACCCCCTGACGTCGGGGGCTCTACACTCACCTCTGGGGGCTTGCACTGCTCAGAGTTCTTGGAGAAGCGGTGGTGGGAAGAAAAGGACTTGGGCAACAGCTGTTTCTTCTGCCTGTACGAGCGCTTGCTGTCACCGCTGAAGTCATCCAGATACCCCGAGTCATCGCCCTCGTTGGTACCTGAGCTGATGCAGTTGATGAACACGTTCCTATTGGCCGTGGAGGCCACCTTCTCAAAGTCCTCAGTCTGCGAGCGGGTGATCTTTTTCTGGCGGTGGCCCCCAAAGCCAAAGGAGTGGCGCGTCTTGGCCCGTGGAAGCACAGCGCCATCTTGGAAGCCCAGAGGAGGGTTGGTCTGGCTGCTGTTGGTGTCCTGGGCAGGGTCCAGCAGAGGAGTCTGGATGCGTGGCGGCTCGCTGTTCCTCTTGCTGCTGAAGCTGATGGAGGGTGTGCGGAACAGGCTGCGGCGCTTGCCCGTGCTGCTGTTGCTGGAGTTGGTGCTGGAGGGGGACGAGGTGTGAACGCCATTGCCCACGCCGGCCGAGGATGGGGAGGAGGGCAACGAGTCCTGCCTCTTACTCACGCTCCGCCTGAAGATGGGCAGCCTGGAGACGAGCGTGGAGCGGCGCGACCCTGATTCGCCCATCAAGGTTCAGCGGCAGTCACTCTGCAAAACAGACATGAACCAGCCAGAGAGAGAGAGACACACAGTAACTTCAGGACTTCAGGTTGGATTAAAAAAGGTTCCATCAAGGGATGAAACCACACCACCTCAACAAACACCACAACCATTGGTCTGAAGACGCACTGTCCATTTCCTTGTGTGCATTTACAAAAGTACCATTTGACAAACTACTGAATCTATTAGGCTACAAGCGTAATGTAATCTACTAAAAAATGTTGTGTGAATATAGTGTACAATATTTATACTCTCTGTAAGATAGATAGACATGAAATTGTCTAGAGTGACAGAGAATAGAAGAAATAGGTCCTGTAGTCATTTGAATGCAACAAATCTAGCCTATATAGCAGCCTACAGTTTGTCCACAGTCACACATTTCAATTTAAAACCGAGGAAACATTTTCCTGTAAACCTATAATTTAGAGTAGGCTATAATTTCATTGGAATAAGCCATTAGACATGATGGATCACACAACATTAATCAATTACCCAATACATAAATAAATTACTAACTTTAATATAGCCTAATCTTGGCCTATTCAAATAGAATGTTTTGCATATCCTGGCTAGATTTTTTTTCTCCCTCTAACGCGTCCCTGATTGCATGGACGGAGCAAAGTCCCACAGAGAAAAGCCTAAACCAGAGATAGGTCTATTTTCACTTGGAGTTGTAGATTCAATATGAATATGTCTAATAAGCCTGCCTATCTGAGCACCAATACAACAGTGGGTATCACCATCATCCTAGTCACTTTCATTACAAGTTAGGCTAAGTGTAACTACAAAGGTTGCTTACACAGTACAAAAGCTACAGAAGAGTCTTAGAACTAGGAAGCCATCGATATTATTAGCCTAACATTAGTGACATCTCAAATACCTTTTATTGTAATAAGCTATTTGGCAAACAATGTTAATAAATCACACAAGCAATTCATACTCTGTCATGCCCATACTTGACAGTGCTGGTGAATACCTACCTGTTTTGTTTTTTGTGTGTGTTTTTTTTTTTGACAGAGGTCTTTCTGAATCCAAAATGAAACCAACACAAACGTACCATAGGCTGCATCCCAAATGGCACCCTAATCCCTTTATAGTGCACTACTTTTACTGCTACTGTGTATCACGTGTCCTACTAGGCAGGTAACGTAATGTCTTGGCATGAAAAACATTTCCACATCTCACAATTCATGGGAGAACCTAGATGTGTAAAAGGATGGGTCACTCCATTTGATTTCAATCACTTTTTGACCGCACCTCTTTTGATTGAAACAAAAAAAAATCCCCACCCTACCATGAGACATCCATGTCTTCATCACTAGAAAAGATAAACGGATGAGTTTGATATCATTTAAAAGCTTACAAACAGGGTTGTCAAACGATCTAATAATTTCTTCAATGGAAATGTCTATTCTATATTTCTATGATTTCAATAGGTTTCCTATGAAAGATTGACAGTATAATTTAAAACTGATATTCCCATTCACGTCAACATACTCTGATGTGTGGCCCTCCAACCATCTTTGTGCTACCATTAAAGTTAAAATGTCTATTTTATTCACATTTATCTGCCAAAACATGACACCCTGTATTCCAGAGCATGTTGTGTCTCAACCGATGGCGGGCACTACATAAACACCTCAAATGATGTAAAATAGGGACTAAACTACAACATATGCGATAATGGAGAAAAATCTGAGTTTACACGTTTTTTGATAATTGACGTGAAAGGTTAAACAAAATGACCATTTTTATTAAAAAACATTTCAAGAAATTATAAATTAGTTTGTCAACCCTGTTTGTAAGCTTTTAAATTATATCAAACTCAACCGTTTATCTTTTCCAGTGATCAAGACATGGATGTCTCATGGTATGGTGGAGTATGCAAAATGGGTCAACTTTGAGCACATCCATCTCCTAAGTTATTTATAATAATAATAATAATAATAATAATAATAATAATATGCCATTTAGCAGACGCTTTTATCCAAAGCGACTTACAGTAATGCGTGCATACATTTTGTTTGTGTATGGGTGGTCCCGGGGATCGAACCCACTACCTTGGCGTTACAAGCGCCGTGCTCTACCAGCTGAGCTACAGAGGACCACAGGTCCATTCAGGTCCAAAATGTTACTTTCTGACCACAACTATGAGCAAATAAGGATATCAAGTTTCGTTCAAATCAAAAGGGGTGCGGTCAACAACAAAAAATGAAATCAGAAAGGAAAAGGCGAAACGAGAGGATTGAATCGGCCACAAATCTGTCCGCTTGAGATAAGCCCTTTTTTGTACGGAGGTCAATGACACTGCGTTCACATAGGATTTAAGATATTTTGGCTTTAAAAAATAAATAATCCCCAATGTTTATTTGACCCGCTTACAAACAGGCCCATTGTTACCACATTATTGCCTGCATACACCTTTTATATCTCCCGTGCGCATGCCGGTGACAAGTGGTAGTAGTGGTGTGCAGATCTGGGTGGGCGTCTATTTTAATAAATCCATTGAGAATATACACCATCGAAAATAAATCAATTATTAATTAGTTTAGGCAGGTCCTAAGAAACATTAGACTAATAAAATGTATTTTCAAAAGAAAACAATTGCATATTTTGAGTTCAATTAGGCCTGTTACAGGTCTGTGCAGCCATGGCTGTGCCATCCAAATGAAATCAATAGTTCATTATTTTGTTCATTAAACAGACAAGACACACCTAACCGATCACAGTGAACACACATATTTTATAGTAAGAATATAATGGAATATAACAGAATAAAATACAAATAATATTTTTCCCACACAACTTGTCATGGGAATGTGTGGAACCACTATCATATAAAAAAAGTGATTTTTGCCCTCTCATTGGCTAGAATGGTCCCACCTGATCTCACCTCCCATCTTTGAGGACATGCATTTCCATTGTTAGAGCAGTTACTTTACTATCTTGTCTATATAATAGAAAATATTTGTTGAAATCAAATGGAACAACCCGGATGTGACTGTGATAGGAGTTTCCTGAATGACAACAGCTTACATGTAACAATACAAACGCACTCAGATACTGTACTATAACTGCTATTGTCTTCATGGAATGCATGACCTATGCATCATCTCACTAGGCACATTAGCCATGATGACTCAAAATATGGCTTTTTACCTATTTGTATTCTTTATAATGATGCCTTTTTAAATAATTCAAAATGTGTAAAAAGCCTCATCTTTGGAGTCATAACATGGCTATAGGCACATCATCTCATTCTAAACTTAAAAGACTACCTAGGTCTAAAGTCGAATGCAATGGACTAGCTAGGTAATAATGTTATCAATTATGCCACAAAAACCCCTTCCAAAAAGGCCATGGAGCAGTATGACTACTAGCCAAGCTAGTTAGCTAACTCACTGTTGAAAAACACTGACAGTTGTTGCACTGTTGCATCTGATGTAGCAAACTACAGCTGCTGTATACGTTGCTATTAAAATGTTAATGTGGGTATCTTGATAAATCACTAGATGTAATCTGGAGTAACATCATGAGGTAGCTAGTAAATTGTCGCCTTGCTATGAATTTAGCCAGCTAGCTAACGTTAGCTACCGAGGTAAAAGTGTTTTATATTGGATATTCGGTGGATATTTGGTTCTCGCTCATCAATAGCTCTTAGACAAAGCGTGCCATGACTATGAAAATTATATATTCAGAATTGAGAGAGGATGGACAAAAATCCACTGCTTTTATTTTGGAAATCTCTTATTTTAAAAACGTCCAATCATCAATAGCTCTTACACAATGCATGCCATGACTATGAAAATGATATATTCTGAATTGGGAGAGGATGGACAAAAATCCACTGTTTTTATTTTGCACATTTCTTATTTTTTAACTTTCAATCATCAATAGCTCTTACACAAACCGTGCCATTACTATAAAAATGATATCAAAAACAAACAAAAAAACAAAGAAATGTAAATAAATAAAAAGTTACTGTTTGTCCATCCTCCTGTGATTTAGAATATATCATTTTCATAGTCATGGCACGATTTGTTTAAGAGCTATTGAAGATTGAAATCCCTCCCACCAAAAAAAATTACATCTAAATTGACTCAGAATATACCATCTTCATAGTCATGGCATGCTTGGTTAAATAGCTATTGACCAGAGAAAACCAAATATCCAATATAAAACTAATTTTACCTTCCTACTTTAGCTAGCTTCTATCTCTGAATGCAGGATAGCAGCTCGAGCTGTCAAACGTCAACAATGTTGAAGCTGTAAGTGCCAATGTCCAACCATAATCTCAATGTTATTTATTGAACTGGCAAACCATGGTCCGGGCTAGTAATTCGGACCAAATACTGCCATAATACGAAAGCTACAGACGACTCAAATCTCGCCGTGTTTTTGGCTGACAAGAAAGGTGCATGTGTGAGCGAACCCCGGCGAAGAAGCCGCGGCTAGCTAGTCAAGACAGCAGAAATGTGTTACCTTCAGCTGAATTCCAATGTCCAGGCTGCTCCTTGCAATGACAGACGAAGCTCGTCTGAATATAATTAAACCTCTATTGATTTAATATTAAGTTAACCATGCTGTTCAGCCACATGAAAATCTTACAGATATAGCAAAACTATTAATAATCTATCGCACAAATGCACCTCAATGACGTATGATCCCTACCAGCAACACTACATTAGTACTTCCGGGTCACGGAATTTCGGATAACAAATAAATAAAAGTCCCCACGTAATAATAGAAAAATGTCAAAACCTGTATTGATTCATTACATTTACATTTTAGTCATTTAGCAGAAAGATAGTCTAAACATGAACAATTATTCATATTTTATGACATTTGCATTAAATGGGGTTTTTAAAACATGTTCATGGTCAAATAAATGCCCCCAATGCAATACACTGTATAATAAAAGGGTCAATCAGCAGTTGCTGCAACCATTTTTGGACTTAAAAATGTAT